TTCCCAACTTAATTTACAGAAAATTTTCCATATGTATCAATTTTCATGGGACTTTATAAACTTTGCATTTTCTTATATGAAGTTCAGAGTTTTGCTGTTTATACAGAGGCTTTGATCATACTTTCAGTAGATGGGAATTTGGAAAGTAAAGGAGGTGCTGTGTACAATAACAAAATGTGTATTATTTAATAGAGAGGTCAACAAGAAAATATTTTTTGCTTCTTCCAGAGAAAGAAATCTTTTAAGACTGATGTTTTAACTTTTGTGAGAGCTTTTGTATGATTTTTGTAAAATCTTCATGCATGTCTGACAATAAGACTTCCAAAAAAGAGGGGAACATTACTGGGAACTTTCGTAGACATGCAGGAAGAGTTGTGTCTAAACATTGCTCTTTTGCTTCATCTCAGAGAAGCTCGGGGAAAAAAAGCCCAGAAAGTGTTTTTTTATGACTTAAGTAAAGATACTAAAAGGGCATTTGATAAATAACACTGTAGAGGAAGATGGTGAAATGTTTTGTGAGAAAAACGACGTTTGGCCAATTGAAGATTATAGTATTAGAGAAAACCAAAGTGATGAAGTGTGAAACCAAAAATGAGGAGTTATGACCAGCTTTATGTCCAGACACTTCTATGGGTGTTTTAGGAAAAAATTAATTTTTAAGCATAGTAAAAAATATAATAATTTTATGTATGCCAACACAGGCAGAAGCTGATTTTGCAGATGCAATCTAGGTATCTAGTACCTGGATATTTTAACTGGCTCGGAAAGTTCAGTCAGCAATAGTCTGAAATTTTCTAATTAGGAAATACCAGGGATATTTTTATTGAAAAAGTCACAGAAAATGTTGCGTTAGTAGTAGGTTTTTAAAAAAATGAGTTATATTTCTCTCTGAGTTATCTGAATAGAAAATACAAAATAGAAATGTTGAAGATGGAAACAAAAGTTCAGGACAGTGAACAGGACAGAGGTGTAAAACTCAGTCCAAAGTGGAAAAGGCAGATGTAGCCAGGACAAAGGAACTGCAATCCAAACATTCCAAAGAAATGTGTAATAGCTTTTGCAAACACTCCCCTACATAATTAGTGCTTCATTTTGTGTGTTCTGATCATCAGAGGGATTTTCAAACTGAAGATTTCAAAGACATTCAACCCTGATGCAAATTCCCTACCTGCTTTCACCCTGATTTTAGTCAGGCACTCAGTAACTATTCAATCAAGGTTTTCAAATAAACTAGTGTCCATTTATTGCATAACATGAAGTTTTCTCCATGTTACTGCATATGCACATGTCTGCAGCCCCAAAATACCAGTTTATCCAAGTGAAGTAGAATAATTCTGCTCCTAATAAATTTATGAATAAGCATTGAAAAAGCTGCACACTCTAGAAAAGAAATGTCCAGGTTCTTCAAGAAACATTCAAGCAGCTTTTAAATAAACTTGTCCTTCAGGAAGATCATATGCCAGAAATGCCAGAAATTTGCTTATATGGGTGGACTGATAAAAGTTTAGCAGAGAGATCAATGCCTCTCTGCTTCTGCTGCAGCAATGTCTAAACTAACTGGCTGATCATTTTGTGGGTGGTTCTTGTGCTTTTCAGATTCTCAGCTGAATAGTTGTGACTCTGTCCAGGCCCTGTCTTTCCCAAAGTACACAGAGATTGGGGAAAGGATAACTAACAACTGTGAAAATAACTTGAATATCCAAATATGCTTTCCAAGGCAGTCATCTCATGAGGCAGAACAAAACAAGGACAGTTTATAATAAAATATATAAAATCATATTTATTGAAAATATGTATAAAAAGATTTTTAAAAGGCAGAAAGGAGAGGTACAGGTTAAAGTAGTTACATTTTTTAAAAAATAATTGTTTGTGTCATTGGGATAAACAGAATGAGAGTTTATGCTTTCAGATAAGGAATTATAGGTTCAGATAGATCCATCAAAAGCAATTAGGAAAAAGACCTGGTCCAAGAGAACGTGCCAAAGCCATAAAATTATATAAATAGGCTCATAAAATCTACAGAAAATTATAATTGTTATTGTCCTGTTGATTAAGAAATTAAGTTATTTTTCTGATACTCCAACATGTAGTTTTATCATTCTAAAAACCAATGAGATTAAAAACTACATCTTTTTTTCAAGGTCTTTTTATGAAGATGATTTTTTAAAACTCAAAATTTGCACATCCCAAAGCTTCTGTATGCACTAAGTTGCGAAGGGTAAAGCACCATGAAGTGTTTTTGTGGTAGGGTTATCTCATCCCAGAGTGTGATCTGGAGCACAAATGGGTCAGTCCTTATATTAACTTATTTCAGACGTCGTTCATTTTATTTCTTCGTTTGCCAGAATGTCTTGACTCCGGCTCAGCTCGATGGGTGGAGGTTGTCATGTGTAAAGAAAATATGCTGTGCTATTGTTGCTGGCTTTGCCTCGTGGCTTTGGAGGCAGCAGACAGCAGCAGAGCTCCTCCTTCCCGCTCCCACAGAGGCACTCCCAGAGCAGGAAGACTCCAGGAGTGCTGGCAGGGCTGAGGTGTCAGCCTTCCTGCGTGTCTGCTCTGTCCTCATGTGATCTGATGCTCCAGTTTTCTTCCATTCACGGAGTCCGTGGCTCAAATATCAACCTCTTGTCTCCATAACTGCTCGGTCTGGTTCCCACCAACACCCAAGGGTGTCATAGTCCCCAAATCCCTTTTCCTGGTCACTCCAGCAATGCCCATCCTACATACCTTGATTGTTCACTCCTTGAGTAGCTGACACACTGGAAGTTTCTACAGTTGCCTGTTTTGACAGGTAATTGTTTTGATGCTTAAAATTTGTGTTTGAGGGGAGAGCAAAAAGGCAGAACCACCCAGTTAACTCGACAGAGGCTAGATGGCAACTCACAGCAGACACACATGCCTTCATGGAATAGAGCTGGTTAAAGATAAAGATCGCTAGCTAAAATATACAAAATATTTGTATTAATGTGTCTTAAATATATCACATGTGAAAGGAACAATTTGCAGTACTTATTTTACGACCTCACATGCGTGAAGACCATTTTACAGTACATTAAAATTATAAAGGGTCTTTAAAAACACAAATACATCTTGTATCTGAAATTAACACTAAAAACATGAGAATTTAGTAGTTAATTTGAATTTGACCTAATTGGCAGAGCAAAAAGCAAAGAAGAAATATTGTCAGCTTTTTTGGGGCAAACTTTTCTGTTCATGCTACAAACGTGCTTGCAGTGAAATAGCAGCACAGAAGGAAGCACCGCTTTACATGTCCTTAAATTTTTATTGTGTTAAGTAGTTTTAAAAAAAAAAAATTATTAGTGTGATGACTGTGAAGCTTGAAATGTCAAAAGAGCAAGCAGCCTCTAGTTCTTGATTCCCTCAAGATAGCTGAGAGACTGCAGGGTCAGCCAAGTAGTGACTCGTTGATGCAGAGTGTCTTGCTTGCTCCTTGCTGTCTGTCTGTGTGGTTGTTTTCCAGCTCTCTGGGGACAGGGGTGAGGGGTTGGCAGAGCAGGCTCTTCAGCTGTCACAGGTCAGAATAATTCATCAGAAGTCTCATTGTTGGGGTTTTTCCTTTTGTCCAACTTGACTCCAGATGTTCCCGGTGCTCCTTGTTAATCAAACGATGCGCAATTGGAAGGAGAACTAGATCAGGAGCTCCAAAAAAGAAATGCAGTGAGTGAAAATGGCAGGTATATACACTGTCCAAATGCTGTTGGGAGCCTTGTCTTTTAGAGGTGGCCACAGACTCCTGTGGAAACCAGGGTCCTATTTCTTCCTCATAGTAGATGCTCTCGCCAGGCAAATTGATAATAATTTTTTTTAAAAAATCTTTTTTTTTTTTGTACTTGTCGAGGCACAGTTTGGATGGACTTGAACCTGGATTCCCAAGGAGATCAAACCAGCCTGGATACGGTAAGCATAATTTTTGGGAAATCAAAAGTGCTTCAGTGATAGAGTGTGGAAAGTCTCTTTGTATTGACACGATAGAGTTGTGATGTTTACACTGCGCTTGACATGTTCAGGTGTCTGACTTATGCCTTAATCAGCTCATTGAAAAGGATACACTGCATTTAAAAATTGCAGAACACAGTGTCTTCTCATTTTCTCCTATATCCAAAATTGCTTCCCACAGCCATTCCTGAAGTGATAGGAATAACTCTATGGCGCAAGTATTTCTTTCATGTGCCATTTTTGCCTGACACTTCCACAGAAGCAGAAAATAGAGAAAGATTCTTGCATGTTTATGCTTGCTTTCCACTATTCAGCTCATTAAAAAGACCTTGTTGTGTCTATAAATGTGTTTCATATCCACTTTAACACTGGCATAATGAGCATCTCTGTGTTTTGAACTTCTGATTCATTTTAAACAGAATCTTCAAAGTTTCCTTTCAGCTTGAAACCTATCAGAATATAACTTCAATATCAGTTCCAGAAAGAACCAGATTCAGAATTTCTGGAAAGGATTAATAGCTATTTTTCTCTTTTGAGAGGTCATTAGCTCTGCATGAATAGATTAAAGATTCCTTGCCCATTGTATTCCAAAATAGCCAATGCACTGGGTCCAAAGGAAAACTAGTGCACATTGTTAGATTGATAACATTAGAAGTTATTCAAGGTCAAATTCTTTGAATTCTTATGGTTTGAAATATTTTTTACTCTTTGCTTAGCAGAAATTTTAATCCACCCTACTTTTGTACTTTCACAATTACCACAGTAGAAGACTCTTATGAATATTAAAGTATTGCTGTTGACAGCTTTGTACCTTTTCAAAGATACTGATGAGATGAATTTTCCTAAGGGTTATTTGTATGAAAAAACTATTTCAAAAAGGGTTTAAAATGAGCTCAGAAAAGACATGTCATTCTACCTCTGAAAAGGCTTTAAAAAAAAATAATAGGGGAGACTGTTCCCCCCCCTCCTCCCATGCTTATGTATAGGAAATGTTTGATTTACATATATGTTGTTTTTTCACCTGCATGAAATTTTATTTACAGGTTAACAAAAGAAGAATACGACCAAAATCCATGGTCAAAATTTTGCTTGCTGTCTGTTCATCTTCATTAGAAAGCTGCTTTCAGGTAAAATTAATAAATACTCTGATCACTAAAATGATAGTGCCGTAAGTTTGCACTTAACATGCACACACCTTGTCCTACAGGGCACAACTAAGCAAGCTTGTTTATTTTCCTTTATCCCAGGGTTCTTGTCAGTATGATAAATAATGTTTGAATGCTCCAACTCCACTTGCAGAGTCATGTTCAGATCATATGTCGCTTCACACAGCTTGTCATCTTACTGGATATCAGGTTCTCTGGGGGTGGGGTAGCTACCTCAGCACAAACAAAATAATGCTGTAACTAGTGTTTTATTTGTATCATAATATCATCTGCACTGAGGGGTAGGTACTCTTAGGCTTTACTGTGACATAATTTGTGGGATTTTATTTTAAATGGGAGGTACTGACACTCAAAACTTTTTCATGATAACATCACCAGGTATCAGATTTTAGTTTTTACAGCATAGCTGCTACAAATTCTTATCAATACGTCATGAAACTTCTGTTCTCTTGATGTTTCTTGAGGATGCTCAGAGGGGCTTTCTCTTCCCAGCCCCCAGGCCCCAGGGCTGGGCACTTTTCCACTTGACTGTGCACGGGGAGGGTGCGCAGGGGAAAGCTGCAAGGCTGTTTAAAATGAAAGGGTCTTTTATTCTGTTTTGCAACGTGGAACCGAGTAAATATTCTTGCCAGTATCTTTTTTTTCATCATTAATAACCTCTAGGGCACTTGTTTTGTATCACACCCAGGCAAATGTGCGTGCACACAGCTGCAGAAGGCCACTATAAAACTTTGCCTTGAGGGTCACCCCAGGATAAAAAGCAATAGAGCAGGCGTTGATGGAAAGCATCAATGCAATCAAGCAAGATCCTTCTTTTTGTTTCCCTAAAGCAGCGATCCGGAATCATGAAAGTGGAAGGAATTCCACTTACTGAGATAGAACAGGCTGGGGGTGAAAAACCACTCACCATTTGTATTGAAATTTTTTCTATCAGTCAGTGAAACCAGTTAGTTTGTTGATATATTTTGCATTGCAATGCCTGATTTAGCTTGGAATATAAACATGAACAGCAGTACAGTTCTCTGTAGATTGTACTCACACACATTTTTAGAAATGTTAACCATTATAAGAATGATAATTAAATTAATCCCCAGAAGTTCATTCTACATTGTGAGCGTATTTAAGAAATGCCTTTTTTGTTTTCCTCAGAAATTCAGCCTAACATATAGATCTGAATTTGGGGACCTGCACTATCTAGGCATTGGTAGAGGACCAATGAATCTGCAGCATAAAGCTTTAAAATGTTTTAGTGTTTCACTCTCTGGTGGCACAACTCTGTTTCCAAATGTACCAAGAGTTTGATGGGAATGCCTGTTATATTTCTGAGGAATAATGGTAAGTATCATTTGGCTGGTGAGGATCAAGTTGGAAGCACATTGCAACCTCCATAAACTGTAATTCACTAAATATGGCACTAGATTAGTACCATGTTTCTGCTCATACCTTTATTTTGTAGTTTTAGAAATTATTCCCTCTTCTTTATGTTGTAATTTCCTATTTGATTAACACAAGGATGGCAATTAGTAAAGTTCTCAGAGATCTAGAGATGGTAAATATGTAGAGTAACTAGTTATTTTGAAATTTCATTGCTCTTCCAAAAGAAAGTCTTTCCTCCCCTTTCTAAGTAGTTAAAATTGTCAGGGATGGTACCTTGGGAGCTGGAAATCTCATGGTACGAAGTGGTTTTCTTCAAAATGGCAAAACATAAGGAGGCACAGTAAGGCAGCTTATGGGAAAGATAGTACAATAACAACACTGACCTCCTGGCCTTTATAAATTAGGAAGTGCATTTTCTAAATCAAAACCATCACCAGAAGCTCTGGGAATGGAAACAGGCTTAATTCTCTGTTGTACAAAGAACCAGAGATTTCCATAACAGTAGGTCAGACTTTCAGTCCTGTGTATGTGTCCACTTGGTTCCGTGCATTCCCGAGAGGTCTGTGCCCCGCTGGCCTCGGGAACAAGCAGAAGCCAGTGGGGGAGATGTGGGGTGGGTGGCAGGGGATTGGCACTCTTTCCATGCCAGGGAGTTGTAGAGTTTCCCAGGAGAGGTGGAATTTGAATAGTCTTCGGTTCCCACCGGGGATCTCTTTGCAACTGAGACTCTCCTGTTGGATCCCAAAATATAATATTTGTAGAGAGACATTTGAGTGGTCTTTGCAAAAGGCCATGGGCTACAGATGCTGGCAAAACTCCTCTTCACTGATCTTATCCCTGTGGATTCTTCCTCCCTTCTTCAGCAGGATGTGAAGAGACTCCTTGCATGATATCACCTGCCCTGCTCCAGCCAGAGAGTCTGCACCCTGATCTCATCAGACCTGTGCAGAAGACCTATTGTATCTTATTTCTCCCTTTGTGTTCCCTGAATCTTTGCATTCTGTAGACCTGAATACCTGTTCCCCCCTATAAAATCTCCTAGGATAAAGTGGGTTTTTCCCCATGAGGTAATTGTTAAGACCCCAAAAATTTGTTAATCTGGGTTTTTCCCTTATGTCATCCCCTGAAACCCCCTGTTTGTAATAAATTGTAATAGTTACAACCCCCTATTGAATATGTAGACCCTAAACCCTTTAAATATGAACTTGTAAGTCCAATAAAGCATTCCAGCTTCTTGTCTCCCTGGAATCATCTTAGCTTTATTGACCTCCACACTCTCCTTCTTTCCTGTAATGCCAACTGGATTGGCTGAATGCTGCCACTGCAGTAAGCACCAGGAAAGAGTGACCCATTCCAGACCTCCGATCTTGGAATAAATACTAACCAGGCAGAGTGGCATTCACTGAGAGATTCTTTCCACTGCCACTTCTTCTAACTTTTTGCATGCAAGATTTCTTCAATGGTGTGGGATTTGGAGCTTGACTGATCTCTAGCAACACTTTGGTGGAATATCCCTTTGGGGACAGGGAGTTCAGCTGGGCTGGGAAGGTCGGGTTGCACATGTCTTCATTCATGGCACGCTCTTAATTCTTTGCTCTCAAAATCATGACTATGATACTCTTCTGTAATCACAACACTCACCTCATAGTCTTGTTTTTCAGTGTAATCATACCAGGTTATTCACTGTTCTGCCATTTGAGAAAAAAGGGTGTTTATACCATTCAAATTTGGATTTAGTTAAATGTAGTGGACCCTTTTCTGAATTTTCCGCGTGTGTAGAAAATGATGTGCTGAGAAGAATACGTTCTTCTATTAAGGAATAAGAAGATTTCACACCTCGAAGCTGATTATTAAAACAAAAAAAAGTTATATTGTTCCAACAAAAAAAATCTATTTCTCTTATTATATTTATTTCTACATTTCCATAAGATGCAATTGTTAGGAAAGGAGATAGAAAGCATCCCTTGTCTTTAAGAAAGAAAGAGTAAATGGATCTCGAATGAGGCATAACAATTTCTTGATTCACAGAATAGTTTGACTCCAATTCATTTGCATATGTGTTTCAACTAAAAATATGAAAATAATTGTTATTACCACTCTTCATGCCACAGAGTTTACAGGGATGAAAATGAATGAATGTGTGGTATTTTCATTTGGTTTTCCAGATGACTCCTCCTAACTATTTAACTTGGTCTCCAGAGTCTACCACAGTTTGGTTGTTACTACTTTGTGGTGGTTTTGTGGCATCTTTTCACTCAGAGTATCTAACAAAACTTTCCCACACTTGCCTATGATACCCCATACAGTTCTTACTGACACACAGTTGATCTGTTTGAAGTAGGGTTTTCTTTTCTGTAATATTAAAATAAAACCTACAAGCCCATATAGAACTCAGCCATAAAATTAGTTCAGATTAGCAGTAAAACTACATAACTATTTATATTTTTTTAATATCCTTTTTATATACCACTGTACCAGGTGTTGTTAGTACAGACCTTTAGGCTCTTAAATACCAGGTGGTGGTTTTATGTTGCTAGGGCAGAATTCATCTGGAAAGGAAAGGTACTTTGAAAGCTGCCTATGAAAAGTGGAATAGATCAACCCATGTATTTAAATTAGGGTCCCAAGTTGTTTCTCTGTGCAGGACATTGGACAGATGAATTTATAAGTGCGGCCACTCTCCCACAGCAGATGTATGATGGGCTCTATGACAATGTGCTGGACTTAACAGAAGAGAAAAAATGTGACGAGGTCACGGATCAGAAAAAAACCACATAAAATAGAAGCCTAGAAAATCCTCACAGTCAGCTCTCCAGGCCACCCACCCACCAGAGTGAGCATCATCAGGGCTGGCCCCAGCGTGGTACAGTTTCCCTCCTTCCAGAAAAGCAGCTGGATGTTATTTCTCCATTCTAGGAAATCAGTGTGCTCTTTGGGACACGTGGAGCACTCACAGTCCAGAAGAGAACGTCATACCTGCCTCGGACTGTCAGCCAGGGAGAACTGGTCTGACTCTATTCCTGATGACCACTACATCATTTTTTGTTTCAGACTGGGATTTCATTTTTAGTGGAAGACTCTTGTATCGCAACGTTCTCTGACCTACTTGCGCATTTCCAGTGGCTTCATTTAGAGCAGGGTTTGGGTTTTTTTCCAAAATTATATTGTTTTGCCTTGGAAATTTTTTTTGCTTCCCAGCACATTAATACTGAACAGATCAAGAGTTAAAACATTTAATCCTGTGTCCTTCTGTTTTCTGGTTTTTCTAAAGGATGAGTCATGAGTACGGATGGCCTTTTGTTATTCTTTAGTAAACTCAAACAAGAATATTTATTCCCTCATTAGAAAAAGAATAAATTGCCAAACAGAAAAATTTGAAACAGTGATTTTTAAAAGATTTTGGCTGTATCTTACAGTTATTGTTCTTTTTTTTATTATTATTATTTTAAAAATACCAAAAAAAAAAGAAAAGTGTTCAATCAATGTGCTGGATTGCCCAGCCTGAAGCCTAGAGCCTGGAACCTTTTGATGTTGAGGTCCCATAGGAGCCAACAGCTGAAGTACAGAATACTTGAGCTCTTCTGGGAACTACATGTACTGTCTGCAGCCACAATGGTTTGAACAGAGCCAAGAGTGGCTGATTTGCATAGTGCACCTACACTTGCTACACCAAGTGGTGGAAAAGACATCCCACTTTCTACAGTAATTCATTCTCAGGCTGCTCTTCTGATGAATTTATCATCTTGCTACTTAGAGATATAGCAGAACAGATTTTGTGAAATCACACAATCACAAATGCACAGCCAGGTTTACTCTTAAATTTATAAATATTTTCCACTATTTTATATTATTTTGGTGTGCAGCAATCACAAGCTGCAAAGCACAAAAGCCATTACAAGTCAATGTCCTGCCAGAAAGTCTTGCAGCTGTTTCATTAAGTACTTCCTTAGGTGTATAGGACTGTAGAATTTCTTTAAAAAGTGAATGTCTGCTTTTTTTTTCAGTTTTACAGTGGAAATCTGGATTGGAGACAAGAAAAAAGGGTTATTTGCAAAAAAATTTTGACACCTCGGTGAAAAGAGGAGCATCCTTAGAAAGGCGTTGAGCCAGTGCTCTGAATTAAGGATTCCATCACTGGCAGCAGGAGTGGGTGCGTGTTCAGTACAGAAAAGCCACGCCCTGGCCATAGATTTTGAATTCCCCAGCTTTCAGTACACCCAAAGGTCATTAAACTACTTTGGCTGGTGTCCCTCCTGCTGTGAGGACAAAATGCTGTGGGTGCTGTCTGCTTCACCCGTGTGCAGTCATAATGTTGGCTCTGCCTGTAGAGCCTTCACAGCTGTGCTGTAACACAGTTAGTTCCCAACATGACTCAGATGAAGGATTTTATTTAATCTGCACAGGATTTTGGAAAAAAAAAAAAAAGAAAAAAAGAGGATTTTCATTTGTGGAAACCTTGAGGATGTGCAAAGCTAAAAAAAGAGCACATATGAACAAGAGGTTGGATCTCAAAAGCTGATTTCCCATTTTCTTAGGATATAAGTTCAGTGAAAATGGAAAAATGGGAGAAGAATGAAACCATTTCATTGACTTGGCTACCTTAATTCCTGGAACTGTCTGTTAAAGCAACAGTCATAATTTGCATTTCTTCCAACTCACAAACAGGAATGGTTAAAGAAGTGCATGGGGGGTTGTTTGTTTGTTTTGTTTTCTGGCTCTAAATTCATAGAATCATAGAATCAACTGGGTTGGAAAGGACCTCCAAGATCATCAAGTCCAACCCTTGATCCACTACCACCATGGTTACTAGACCGTGGCACTAAGTGCCACATCCAGCCCCATTCAGCTTTTCTTTTAGGTTCTTTCCCCCACTGTGCCTTCTGTCACTATTTGCACCATTTGCAGTGCTTTATTTCTATGAGACTATGCATTCCTTTTAAAATCTGGAGGTTCTCTACTATCATTAAAATCCACACTGAACAAAAAATAAATGTCTTGTTCCTTGCATAGGGGTGACTACAACGACAAAATCTGAAGATTCTTTGTTCAGATTAAGCTCTCTTGGAAACAAAGAGCTGCCAGCTGGTTCTACAGGCCAGAACATCAGAACTTTTAAGGTAACCCTTATATTATTTGCATAAGGACTGACCTTTTAGGAAAGTGGACCTGAGATCACCTGATAAATATGCAAGAATATGTCTCTCATTTTTCTTTCTGAGGCAGAGTACCACTAACCACAAGACTCAAACAGGCACAAGGAACCCCAGGTTGCAGGAGCAACATGAATATTCCAATCATCTGATGTAGAGATTAGTCTATAGGTTTGAGCTGCACATGGTAGAGCATCTTTCATGGTATCTACAGTAGAGCACAAATGTGTTCAGTATCTTTTACAAGTAATTATTCCAAGTCCCTTCATAAAAATGCTCCAATTTACAATGTTCCAATTTAAAAATGCTCCAAAGTACAGTGAGTACTTTTTCCAGTTTAGTCCAGATGCTAAGACATTGCATGCCCAGGAAACTGAGTATTAACCAAGAGCTACTTACTAAATAATCCAAAGCTGCCTTCAAGACATAAGGGTCAAGACAATTGGGTTTCTAGGGGGGTTGTTTCTGTGCAGAGGATGTGAAAAGGAAGCCTTTGTTCATAAAGTGTCCATGGATGTTCAAGGAAAGTGGATGTGCAGGCCATATAATTAAAAGAAAGTGGGGAATGCCCGTCAAAAGTAATTGACTCATGACAGCAAATGGCAATTTTTGCAGTGTTTTACACTAGAATTATAAAATCAATTCACAACCACTGTTAGGGGAAGGTAGCACTAATGAGAAGTTCCAGTGTAGCTGAGCATTGCTATGTGTTATGTATTGAACCACAGCAAATGTAGTGCCCAAGGAAGATAAGGTCCACAGGTTATTGTTTTTTTATGGGATGTAATCATTGAGTGATGTGGATTATGCTTCTATACCTCAGGATTCATTTCTGTACAAACTCAAGCACGTGTGTTGACACTCCAATGCCTATGGCAAGTAGTAGGTGTTGTGGATAAATTTGGGTTCATAATCTAGATATAGACTGGAATATAATATACAAGGTGCAAAACACAAAACTGTTCTCAGAATTTAAATTTTACTCACGCAGTCAGTTGAAGCCAAACATTAGTGAGAATAAGGGAGTCACCAAGAGTGGGGTTTTTTTTGAAACATTAAACTTAAGAAATGTAGAGAAATGTGTATTGTGATCAAATGGGCTGAAAGATTTGCAGAACTCAAGAAGAAAGTGGCTTTAAGTCAAAGACCATGAATTAATCTTATTTTTTTCCTTAAATGCAAACGCTTATCACATAGCATTCATATATTTCATGAAAACTAAACAATTACTGTGACAAACATTGAGACATTATCACAGAAAATTGAACTTCACCTACATGTAACTTTGATAAACCATTAATTTAGTTTAATTTTCATTCCATAGCTGAGAATGCTTGTATCCAGTGTTTGATCTGCTTGTGCATTTCTATTGAAGAGTGACAAAGAAATAAATCTAGGATTTATCTTGAATTTGTCTCTTGTTGTTTTATTTTATGTCCTGAGCATAACTCCTCTAAAAGAGGAGAAAACCTTATAGGCCCGTGCATAAAAATTTGAAGTATATTGTAGGATAGCTCAACAGCAGGCATTTATCTTTGTTGATTGTAGCTACCTGAATGTTATAAACCAAACAACCTAATTTCTAAGTGATATGATACTGGATATGAAAACGCAAAGCTGCAGGAAATACTTCTGCCATTGCAACACAGATAGCGTGGAATATTGGAAGGTACTTAATTCATTAAAGAAAATGGTGTGTAATTCCTTTGAAATATATCAAGCCATTCATACCTGATAAGTATTTAAGACACAGAAGAAACTCTCAGCATATGTTGACAGTGACATTGAATTATTTAAGATCTTTTCATATTTGCTTCAACCTCTTCCACCTCAAGTGACCCCATCAGAAGAGCATGTTTCAGTTTAAGTGCAAAAGTATTTCAGATGAATAGGTTTTGAAATGAGACCCAATATATATCAGATTAAAAGTTAACCTCAGGCTGCTCTTGTTTTGTGATGCATGCAGAGATACGGGTCCCTTTTTTTGGATGACTCTTCGTGGTACTCAGGAATTATTGATAGGAGGGATGGTTGGTTCCTGGGTCACTGTAATCTCAGCAGCACTTAAGAACAAATGAATGATCACCTCTGCAGTTAATGACCTGGATCATATTGATGGTTTGAGAGCAGCAATTAGTTTGGTCCTTGTTTTAGCAGAGATGTCCACTGTGACAGGTTTCTGCATCCACTTTGGAGTATCCCAAACTTGTACTTAAAGCTACACTGCCAGCAGAAATACATTCATAACAAAGCCTGCTTAAGCCATTTGATTTGGAAAATAAGTTTGTGGTTGTGATCTTATTCTCAGTAAAGTTTTGCATGGAGCAAAAAAAGGACTAGGTTTAAAAGGGATTAGTCTCAAGTTTGTTTTTTTTTCTCAGCCATACCTTCCTGTTCGAGAAGCAAACAGAGAAGGAAAAGGTGGTACTTGTTCTGCATTCCTTTCAAATATTGTAATGACAGCATCAAACTGAACTATTTGAAAAGTTTTACTTTGAGAGATTAGTTCTTCTGATTTGGGATCTTGATCTTTTTATAATTTTTTTTTTTTGATGTTTGCTTTCTCCCCAAATCACACAAAATCCTGTTGGGAGGTGGAAATGGTGACAAAAGTACTGGAACAGAAGTGTTGTGATTTTCAGTCCTTCCCCTCATTAACTCTGATTGCTCACCAGCAGAAACACCCAGGTTTGCTCCTCCACTTCTGGGACCCTTTCGGTTCGTGCAGCCACACCAGGTATTTACCTTTTACCTTTTTGAGGGGGCACTAACAATTAAAAATCCTCTTTGGGCTGTACCCACTGACTCCTAATTAACATGAAAAAGTGCTTTGCCCCAGAGGCTTTACCACAGGACTTTTTTTTCCACATGCATATATCTCACATACAGCACACACTAACTATTCAGACACAGTGTCAGCATGCGTTTCGTACACACACAAAAGTTCCAGATGTGCTGTGTATCTTGTTTAGTTGACTTTATTCTTCTGTAAAGCCAAGAGAAATATTAATCATTCATTTACTGTTAGGGGATGGGTCTTCTTCTCATGTTTCAGTAAAGGGGGTGGAAAAGTAAAGTAAGCCAATTTTTTTCCTATTTAAGGCCAAAGCTGGGGAATGCTTGTGGCTGAGTTCTGTACATGGCCCGGTGCTGGAAGGGCAGGGAACAACCGATGTTGCTATTTTGAATAGATTTTTTTCTTCCCCCCCCATTTTTATTTTTGCACAGAGAGTCTCATGTCTAATATTTAGACATGATGAGCTCTGTGCAAAAAGTAACTTTGCTCATTCTTGCCGTGTTTCAACCCTCAGTTATTTTGGCACAACAAGTCGGTGAGTAATTCAAGCTTCTTATGCTTTAATGTTTTTATTTTATTTTTCATTTTTACCAATAATCTTAGCAGCTTGTAAGAAATGTGCGTTCACGAATCTCACCGGAACCCTTTTCCTTCACTAATTCAGCAGTCAGATGTTTCTTGGTGAAGCTGAAAGTTGCAGGGGTTTGCATTTTCATCCCAAAGGTTTCTCTTTGCTTTGCTTTCTTTACAGTTAGAAGCACTGTACAGTGCTGTCTGCCTTGGCTGCATTTGTTCTTGTTCTTACTTGTTTTCCTACTACAGACACCAGAGAGATTTTAAGCTATTTCTTTTAACTCTTGGAATGACATTTCAACTGTTAGCTCTGTGCTGCCTGGAAGTTTTTTGTCACAAGCTGTAAGTCTTTACTTCCAGCTATTTTATTTGAACTTCTCCTTTGTACTTGTTTGTTTTCCACTGGCAGCAAGGGGGTTTCTTTAAACAATTTGCTTGCAAAAAAAAACCTTTAAATTCTAACCGGTTTTCATGAAGGAGCTTTTAAGATGGATATATGAAAATATGTCAGCTTACAGGATTTTTACTTTGGCATAAAACAGGAGGGTAAATTAATTTCCCCAGCTGCAATAGTTTGAATTGGGCATCTGCAGGCTGTTTCAGTCCCTCACGAGACTGATTAGCAGCTGATGGTATTTGGAAGTCCATGCAAGTATGTGTGTGCATGTTTACAGAGA